TGCTTGTAAATGAATTGATCTGCATGTTTGCTAATTAGAAAGCCCACACCCCATCACATACGACTCGCCCGATACGAGGCTATCCCCTATACCATACAACAGATATACACAACTGCTCTCCCATACTGCATTGCGCGATAATGAGGGTCTCTACGGGATCTCCCATTTCCTGGCGGTGGTATGCCGCTGTCGGAGTTCTGCTACCAGGCTGGATTGCCAATGCTAGCCCAGCTGTGAACGTGGCGCTCCAAGCCTCCTTTGACTCGGCCCCATACCTCGTCGAGCTCCTGTACGTTGCATATTGAGTGGTCTCTCGCCTGGAATACGTCTGTCAATATAGAATGGCTAATGAATTTATCGTAGGGAGTCTGCCGCCGAAGAAAATTCCACCTCCTATTTTCCTTTGTTGGATCGCATCGCCGACGGGACATTTGAGGACCTCACAACCGAGAAGGAGCTCTACGACCGCTTCTTGACAGTCGTGAAAGATGATGATCACATACGGACTCCGGAGAGTCTTTCCTCCTTCAAATTATCGCTTTCGGTCCGATCATCGGCGCCTCGTATTGAGGCGCACTTCCAGTTCTATAACACCTCGGTTCAGCAGTCTTTGATGGTGGCCCAAGATGCGGTATGTCCCGTATGGGTTCACTCGGAGGGAAAGCAGTATTGCTCTTCTGCCATGGAACGCGCACAGCAGGATGTCGTGGGAGAATTGTGGGTAGATCTATGTCTATGGGGGTATCGGCTCCAATAGCTGACATTGAAATTGTGCCTCAGGGATCCTAGAGAGCTACCATTTGATCGCGTCCTGGGCGATGCATCGCTCCCTCCAGCAGTTCTATACGCAGATGTCGCCTCTCCAATGTTCAGAGATTTCCATGAAACCCTGAGCGACATGGCAAAACAGGGACAGATTTCGTACCGTGTACGCTATCGACCTCCCCAGCACTGGATTTCTCGTCCCTTGTTTGTGTCTGGATACGGCGTAGAGCTTGCTTTGAAGCGAACGGACTACATTGTTATTGATGACCGTGATGCGGAGCAGCTGGAAGGAAAGGGCGCCAACAGTCTTCCAACCGACCCGGATGAAACCAAGGAAGATGCCCCGGATGATCTCCGGCCTCTGTCTTCCTCCGAGGTTACCCGTCTAGGGTTGAACTCTGCGAGCTACGTTATGGACAGCGCTGATCCTTTGGGGACATTGATCAAGATGTCCCAAAATTTCCCCAAGTATTCATCGACAGTAGCTGCCCACAATTCCACTGGGGAAATGGCGCAAGAGATCCGCCACAACCGGGTAAAGATGCTCCCTGGTGGTTACAATGCCATGTGGATCAACGGTGTGCAAATGGACACACAGCAGATCGACGCCTTCTCACTTATAGAACATCTACGCCGAGAGAGGAAATTGATTGAGAAATTCCGCGGCCTGGGTCTCTCTGCGGATGATGTCGTGAAGTTGCTGTCACACCGACTCCTCACTGAAGCCCAAGCTGGTGGCGAGGAGCAACGGTATGACTACCGGGATGATTTAGAAGGGAACCAGGTTATTATTTGGATGAACAATCTGGAGAAGGACTCTAGATACGAGTCCTGGCCTGGTGAACTGGAGGCGGTTCGTACTTCTTTCGTATGGCTAATCGACTGAATACATACTAACAATAATTCCAGTACATCGCCGGTTCTCACCCGGGACAATTGCCCCCAGTGAGCCGAGATCTGCACAATGTCGTCGTGTCTATGGACTCTTCTAACCCGGAACACATGATGCTTGTTGCCGGAAACCTGAACGCCTTCATCAAGCGAGGAATTCCTGTGAGATTCGGCTTGGTACCTACCACCTCGTCGCCAGAGTCCATTGCGCAGCTGAAGGTAGCACATTACCTTTTCGATGCCTATGGTATGGAGTCTCTTGTGCAATATTTCGAAGAGTATGCCTCGAAAGGCAAAATGGGCTTCCCAGACAAATCGTGCTTCCAGTCTGCGACTAAAGAACGCGACATCGTTGACGAATACGAAGCTCTGTCTCTTGATCAAGTCTTGAAGAGCGAGAAGTATAATGCCCTGGTGTCCCAAACGGCTGCTTACCGGCGTCGGTTAAGTCTTACCGGCGACGCACCTCAATTCCTGGTAAACGGTGTCCCTATCTCCCGAGAAGGCAACTGGATGCAGGGAATGAGCATGCAGATCAGCAGGGACTTGAAATTGGTCCAGCAAGGCATTGTAGAGGGGATTTTCGAGGAGGACGCATGGCTTCCAGAGTTCTTCCTGGCTGGTGCATTCGAGAGACGCAATACTTTCCTCATGCCCGAGGATCCCAAGAGTGTCCAGATTGTGGACATCGCTAACATCATTGCATCGGATGAAGATGTATTGAGCCAGACTCCCCGCGTTCTCTCGGACAAGGGATCCTTGGAGAGTGCTCATATGATAGTTGTGGGCGATTTCGAGTCAGAGGCAGGTATGAAACTACTTACCGAGGCCCTCAATCTTCGAAAGGAGAACGATGACGTGGAGATTCTGCTGCTACACAATGCGGCATCGGACGCCGAGGATGATGTCTCCAAGAATCTCGTAACTCTCTATCTCTCGCTTGCGAAGGGGGCACCTATCGACCAAGTACTGGCTAAGATTGCATCCGGTGATCTTGAGACTGAAGTCATAGAGATTGAGGCCCAAGAGATCTCTACTATTCAAGCTTTGCACCAAACTCTGGCCAAAGAACTTGGATTCAACCCTGGCACTGAGGGACTCATTGTCAATGGGAGGACAGTTGGCCCTATTGAGAAGGGACATCCTTTAAGTGTGGAAGAGATGAGCCAACTGATTGCCTACGAACGGGTGAAACGCCTCGATTCCGTTGCGGCGGCTGTTAGCGAACTTGGATTCGCCGATAAGATTTCAAACCCGCTCGATTTTGCCAAATTGACCTCGCTTGTGGCTCTTTCCACCATCTCGGATGTCCCCGAGGGTATATTCGAAAACACTCCTGATTTCAGAATGGACGTGTCCGGTAAATGGAGGACGAAGCACTCTGTTATCACGGTTTCTAACTCCGATGATCCCTCGATACACGTTGGTGTTAGCCTTGACCCGGCATCTGAGGTTGCTCAGCGATGGTTGCCGATTCTGAAGGTTCTCTCCGAACTCTCCGGCGTTCAGCTGAAGATTTTTTTGAACCCGAAGGAAGATCTCACGGAGCTGCCGGTCAAGCGGTTCTACCGCTATGTCTTGGAATCAGAGCCATCTTTCACGGACGCGGGGGCTCTGGCTCGGCCGCAAGCGTCCTTCACTGGCGTGCCAGTCGAGGCACTGCTGACCCTGAGCATGGACGTGCCATCGTCTTGGCTCGTAGCACCCAGTGAATCAGTCTATGACCTGGATAACATTAAGTTGAGCTCGGTCAAGTCTGGTACTGACGTTGACGCCATCTACGCCCTCGAGCACATTCTGATCGAGGGCCACTCTCGTGATCTTACAACGAAGACTCCCCCCAGAGGTGTCCAGCTTATCTTGGGCACCGAGAACAATCATTATTTCGCCGATACCATCATCATGGCTAACCTGGGATACTTCCAGTTCAAGGCCCAGCCAGGCTTGTGGCAGATCAACTTGAAGCCCGGCCGCAGCGAGAAGATCTTCAAGATCGATAGCGTCGGTAGCCTAGGATACCGCCCACAGGCCGGTGACGAGAACAACGAGGTTGCTCTGCTGTCCTTCCATGGTCGGACACTGTTCCCTCGCCTGTCTCGAAAGCCAGGCCACGAGGATGACGATGTTCTCGAGACAGGGGTCCAGCCAGGCTCAAAGATGGACTATTTTGCCAAAGGACTAAACTTTGCATCCGGCGTCCTCTCCAGTGTTGGTGTCGGGTCCAAGAGCGGAGGCGAACAACACGCCGATATCAACATCTTCTCAGTAGCAAGTGGACACCTCTATGAGCGCATGTTGAACATCATGATGGTCTCGGTGATGCGACACACCAAACACACCGTGAAATTCTGGTTCATCGAGCAATTCCTCTCTCCGTCCTTCCGCGCCTTCCTCCCTTCCCTCGCCCGCGAATACGGCTTCTCCTACGAGATGGTAACATACAAATGGCCACACTGGCTGCGTGCCCAGAAAGAAAAGCAACGCGAGATCTGGGGATACAAGATGCTTTTCCTGGACGTGCTCTTCCCCCTCTCCCTGGACAAAGTAATCTTCGTCGACGCGGATCAGATTGTGCGCACAGACATGTACGAGCTAGTCACCCACGACCTCCAAGAAGCGCCCTACGGCTTCACGCCGATGGGCGACTCTCGAACTGAAATGGAAGGCTTCCGCTTCTGGAAACAAGGCTACTGGTCCACCTTCCTCCGCGGCAAGCCCTACCACATCTCGGCGCTGTACGTCGTCGACTTGAACCGCTTCCGCGCGCTTGCTGCCGGCGACCGTTTGCGCGGCCAGTACCAGATGCTCTCGTCGGATCCGAACAGTCTCAGCAACCTCGACCAGGATCTGCCTAACCACATGCAGCATCACATTCCCATCCATAGTCTTCCGCAGGAGTGGCTTTGGTGTGAGACTTGGTGTTCCGATGAGGATTTGGATGTGGCGAAGACTATTGATCTTTGTAATAATCCTCTTACCAAGGAGCCTAAGTTGGAGAGGGCCAGAAGACAGGTTCCCGAGTGGACGGTCTATGATGATGAGATTGCGGCCTTGGCGAGTCGGGTTGCTGGTGAGCAGGCTGCTGCTGGGGTTGAGTTTGTGCAGACTGGCGAGGACCGCAAAGATGAATTATAGTCGACCCTGTGGGTTTCATTAGATAAAGCGATTGCATTTATGATTACACTTGTTGCATTTATTGGATTGAATAGTGAATTCCATCGTATTTTCATGGAAATTTTCTTCTACTGCTCGCTCTCATAAGAATTGATATCTCAGCAAACAAGGGTATAATGAAATGTAGAAAGCAAGCAACAGCAAAGGCAAATTCTTCGTTTCGTGAAGTTTCAAAGCTCATCCGAGTCAGTCTCGTACTTAACGTTGACTTCGCTGCTGTCATCATCTCCACCGTCCGAGTCGGATTCGTCGACGACAGCATCATGTTCAGTGGCAGGTCTGTGAGAAGCAGGCGATGCGGGCGATGGGGATTCTTCGACAACAGGATGAGAGGGTTCAGCCAAAAGGGCAGGGCTGTCACTCGAAGCTTGCTTCTGCTTCTTGGACTTTTGCTTCTTTTGGGGGGGCTCAGGGGCCTCGTCATCGCTGCTAGATGCCTTGTTGGCCTCCTCGGCAGCAATACGTTCCTCTTCCTCTAATCTCTTTCGCTTCTTCTCCTCCTTTCTCTTCCGCTTGCGCTCCTTGCGTGCGGCCTTGTCCTCCTGGACTTCTTGCTCAATCTGCTCTTGCCTCACCTTTTCTCGTCGTTCCTTCTTCTCGCGCTTCCTCTCCTCCTTGCTCTTTTTAGGAGCGGCGGGAGACGACGGGGCTTCCTTGATAGGGCCAGAGGCGGGGTCTTCGTTGTGCTTCCGCTTGGACTTTGACTTCTTATCCTTTTTAGGAGGCTCGGGCAAGTCGGGCTCACCCTTCTCGGACTGCGCTTCGTGGTCGGACTCGACATTGGCATTGGAAATGGAAGATGGTGCTGCCTTTAGGCTCGAGATGATACTTTGTATGGCTTCGTCGTTATCAGAATCCTCATTCACGAATTGAGAGCTCTTTCTTTGCGCCTCCAGTCTCATGTTCCAGTGGGCACTTTTCTTAGCAGCGAGTTTGGGATCGAACACCGCGCCTGGCTGGCCATTGGCCCGCATGGTCATGACCTGCCTCACGATCTTGCGCCACTTGTCTGCGCATTGTTGTCGAGACCGCGTGTGACCCATCTCCTTGCTGATGTTACCCCATACAACGAGGCGCTCATCCAGCTCGTACATGTCCTTGCCTGCCTTATCGGCAAGCACTGGCTTCATAGTGACCCACGTTGATTCTACGGCGTCAAGGAAAATCTTGGTTTCCTCCTCCGACCACGCGCCTTGGTTCATGGTGCCTTGGTGCTCGAGCTTGTTCTTCCAGCGTTGAGTGACATCGTCATCACTGCGCCCAATGAGCTTACCAATATAAGTCCATTTCGGACCGTGTTTGGCGTGGAGCTGGATAAGCTCATCGTCTTGTTCCTTCGACCAATCATGTGCCTTTTGAGCCGAAGCTTGGAAGTGTCGGCGCATGAATCGGTACACAGATCGCCGATCACGGTCTGGAACAAGGGCGTAGACTTCGTTCCAAAAGTCGCTTTTTGAGATGACGTCCGAGGAGACTGGAAATTCACCGTTTGCACCACGCTCAGAATGCTGAACCATCTCATCGAATTTGACGCTAGAAATGCCATGCATGGTGCAAAAATTGACTTTGTACGCTTCGATTTTTCGCACTTCATCCGGCGTATAGAAGCCAATTTTCAAGTTGTCCTTCTCCCTAGTGCGTGAACCTCTAACTCCCTTGGCCCTGCCTCCTGGTGTGGTGCTACCCTCGGGGTTGGGTGAGTCAGGGGCTGGAGTTTGCTCGGTGGCAGCCAGCTGCTTTACAGCGGGTGGTTCTTCTGCAACCGTTAAGTCGGGAGTAGGCTGAGCAGCGGACGAAGTGGGGTTTTTCAAGTTTTCGCCATTCTGCTTGCGAGCCTTCTTCGCCGAAGGCTTGGGCTTTGACGGAGTGGGTTGGCTGGGAGTGGGGGAAGTCTGAACAGCAATTGCAGAGGGGGGTAAGTTGCTTTCTGGTGAAGCTGACTCGACAACGGACTTTTCTGATTTGCGATGCTTCTTAGTCTTTTTCTTGTGCTCAGGTTCAGACTCGCGCTTTCGCTTTGAAGGATTCGACATGTTGGTGTCTAATTCTGGGGAGCGCTTTGTACCATTGGCTTCCGCAATTGCTGGCGATGAAGCCTTGGATTCTGAGGAGGATTGTTTCTTCTTCTTTTTCTTCGTCCCATCAGCCTTGGAAGAATTCGGAGTTTCAGGAACTGCCAGATTGCAAATGTTAGTACCGAATCGCGTGAAGATCAAGTGTTTTCACCAACCGGTATCTCCAAAATCTTCAGGAATTTCGGGGAATGGTTCAGGCTGAGACGATGTATTTCCCATGGCAATGAGCTGCGACAATGAGTAGGGAGGGGAAGAGTAGACGATGCGATAAAAAAAGAGAGACCGAGGTTCCTCAAAATTTACGGCCCACGAAGCGTGGAATCCGGCAATTGGGGTTCACCGCCGAGCTGACCGCCTATGTGGGGCCAATCGAGTCAATATCAATGGCTATTGTTTGTAGATCATCATCAAAGGTATACTAGCTAGTCCTATATTATTGGGAAGAGATGGCGTACAATAGAAACAACAAGATCAAAAAGAATATGAAAAGGATTCAAGGCACCAAGATAACCTGTTCACCTATTCTAAAGATGCAAATCAGACTTATTGAAGACTTCCATACAATGGCCATTGTACAAAATTACTACAGAGGGACTCATGCATTCCATACAATACTGCATAATTCAGGCGTTTAGCATTTACTATACACAGTGCTGGCAAGTATCATGCTCATGATTGCATTAATAGTGTACATGCTGGCATAAAGAACATAGAAATCAACTGCAAGTCGTAAAACCCATACAGGTCCTATAGACACAGTCACGACACAAGCTTCATATCCCTTAGGATTTTCATCACTAGTTTCTTTTGGTCATGAGTGTGAAGATTTTGCTGATCTGTCTCCTGAAGACAGCGCCCAATTGCAATAGTGACCTTGACAGAACTTTCTGCGGCGTTGGAGCAGTCCACCCACACCTTTCCATTGCGGCCAACTGCAATCTCAAATCCTCCCAAGCTCTCCAACTTCTTTCCAAGTTCAGAAAGAACGACCAACCCTTCAATTGCATCCGTGTTCTCGGCAGAAGAAGAGCTTGCCCGGATCAACCGGGCCGCCATACCAGTCGAAACATCAAATACCATTCCACCTGTCAAGGGTCCCAATCCTCCATCAGCCTTGCCAGTTGCTGGGTTGACACAGGTGAGTTCAACTTCGGCGCCGGCGCCGACTCCCACAGACTGTACTCGGGCATACACCAGCTCGCCTTGCTTCAACATTGGCCTGGTCTTTTTGGATGCGCCCTCAAAGGACAGTTGACCCAGAAGCGCGTGGGCCGTATGCGGGGTTACCATGCAGTGAAAGAAATCAACGCTGGAGTGGTGGATCTGAGCAATGACGAAGTCGTTGACGGTGGGAATGTATCGGCGGTTCGGGAAAGAAAGAAGCGAGACGGTGTTTCGTTTCGCATCGGTCGTCAACAGACCAGCTTGTGTTGCTGTTAAGACATGATTGGACCCCTTTGAAGAGGGCTGTGATAGGATGCGGAGGCCGGGGCCTAATCGTAGAGGGTTGGAGTTGTTGGTAGGAAGATGGTCTTGAGGTACTTCATCACTAGGTAATAGGACAAGCGGGGCACTCATGATGCCTGACTCGATAGCTGTATTCTGAGAATAGCCCAAGTGTAGAAGACTCCGAAGCAAGATGTTCAATGTTTTATTGCTGGATTTCTTTCGTGCAGATAGATTGTCTACTTTTGCGCATTGATTCTGTTGGAAAGAAAACGACATTTCTTATCGCCACGTGATCTCATTGAATATACTGACCAAGCTCCATCCTAACACTTCACATGGGACTGACCTCGGGAATATAAATAAATTAAGTGGTCTGGATAACTATAAATTTTGTTTATTCGTGCCCAACCTTTTTTTTTATGTTAGAGCGATATCCATCATGGAAAACTGTCTGCATATTAAGCCGTGAAGCGTGGCGGTGCCCTATGGACATTGCCACAACCACTATCGATAAGCACTAGCCACATTTGCGGCAGAGGAAAATCTTCAAAATCTTTTTCGATTGTTCCCCCTCAATCGAGATTTCCACCAATTACCTCCGATACCCCCGAATCTACTTTCACGCCGTAACGTGAGATCCTTATTCTTTTAATCCAAAAAAAGTACATATTTACAACTTCGACATGGGTGACGCTGCCAACAGTGCCCCCGCTGAGGCGGAGCGCTTTGCTATCGGTATCTCGTTCGGTAACTCATGCAGTTCAATTGCCCGCATCTCGCCTGTACGTCCTGATAATCATCCTTTGGGTTAAAGAACGGTGACTGACAAATTTATAGGAGGGCAAACCTGAGGTTATTGCCAACGAGGAGGGAGGTGAGGACAATGAAGCCCCACGATTTGAGAACTCGTATTAACATACTCAGATCGTCAAATTCCTTCCATCCTTTCTTACATCGACGGCGAGGAGTACCACGGCACACAAGCCAAGGCCCAGCTTGTTCGCAACTCGGCCAACACTGTCGCATACTTCCGCGATTTCGTCGGCAAGGAATTCAAGTCGATCGACCCTACTCCCTGTCACCAGTCGGCCCACCCCCAGCAGCAGGACTCGACTGTCGCCTTCACCATCCGCGACACCGAGAGCGAGACCCCCAACACTGTCACTGTTTCCGAGATCACCACCCGTCACTTCCAGCGCCTGAGACGCTCCGCCTCTGACTATCTCGGTAAGGATGTCAACGCCGCCGTTATCACAATCCCCACCGATTTCACCGATGCCCAGCGTGAGGCCCTTGTTGCCTCCGCCAAGGCTGCTGGCCTCGACGTTCTCCAGCTGATCCACGAGCCCGTTGCCGCTGTAATGGCTTACGATGCCCGCCCCGAGGCGACTGTTACCGACAAGCTGGTCGTCGTTGCCGACTTCGGTGGCACCCGCTCCGATGTTGCCGTTGTTGCCTGCCGCGGTGGCATGTACACTATCTTGGCCACTGCCCACGACTACGAGCTCGGTGGTGCCTCCCTGGATAAGATCATCATTGACCACTTCGCCAAGGAGTTCATGAAGAAGCACAAGACCGACCCCCGCGAGAACGCTCGTGGTCTGGCCAAGCTGAAGCTCGAGTGTGAGGCCACCCGCAAGGCCCTCAGCCTGAGCAGCAACGCTCAGCTGAGCATTGAGTCCCTGGTCGATGGTGTTGATTATGGTTCCACCGTTAACCGCACCCGTTTCGAGCTTCTCGCCGGCAAGGTCTTCAGCCAGTTCACTGCTCTGATCGAGCAGGTCGTTCAGAAGGCTGAGCTCGATGTCCTTGATATCGATGAGGTTATCTTCTCTGGCGGTGTTTCCCACACCCCCAAGCTCGCCAGCCTGGCCAGCAACATCTTCCCCGAGAAGACCAAGATCCTGGCTCCCGCCACCTCTGTCACTGCCGTTAACCCCTCCGAGCTGTCTGCCCGTGGTGCCGCCTTCCAGGCTTCCTTGGTCCAGGAATTCGAGCACGAGGACATCGAGCAGTCCATCCACCCCATGGTCACCGTCGCCCCTCACCTGACCAAGGCTATTGGCGTTGAGTTCACCTCCCAGACCGAGACTACCTTCCAGCCCCTCCTCGCCGCCGAGACCGCCCTCCCTGCCCGCCGCCTCGCTCAATACTTCGCCCCCAAGGAGGGTGGCGATGTCCTGGTCCGCGTGTGCGAGGGTGCCCGCGAGATCAAGGTCACCAAGCCCGAGCCTAAGGCTAAGGAGGACAAGCCCGCCCAGGATGAGGATGACTCCGACTTCGATTCCGAGGATGAGGAGGAAGAGGAGACCCGCGAGATCGTCTGGAAGACTGAGAAGCCCGTTGCTGAGCTCGCCGTCAAGGGCGTCAAGGCTGGCAGCAAGATCGAGGTCATGGTTCACGTCAACCCCGATCTCGGTCTGCAGATCGCCGTCCGCGAGGTCGGCTCCCAGAACGCCGTCCGTGGCGCCGTCAACGGCTCCGCTTAAGTTTTTTTTTCCCCCTCGTGAAATAAAAACAAAAGCATGGATTTCGTTTATGGTGTGATGATGCATGCATGACTGATAGAGGTTGTGATTTTTCTTTTTGTCCACGATTTATACTGCAGTTATCATCATGGAGTCTTTCCCTTTATTAGTTCTTAAATAGACTCAGTTATATGCAACCAAAACTCAATACTGGTTCTCTTTCCCAGCCAACTTCACTCTGCTGGGCCCTATTCATTTCCCGACATAGTTGATCCACGCTCCTCCTTCTACTCCCCAAGGACTATTCATTGAGAATCCTGTTTTTGCTCCAAAGCGTGGTTACCCGAGATTCCAAGATATTTGACAGTATACAATTTACATTCCAAGGATCAGGTAACGGTAGTAGAAATTATATTACAACTAGATTAGATAGGTTCGCAGCCGAAAGCACAAATTCCTGCATGATCTTCAAATCGGAGAATCATTGAACATGGGATTCATCAACCAATCATCATCAGACTCACGTGCCTTAGAAACATAACCGGACCCAAGGCAGGGAGAGTATTGCGCGAAGAATGCTCAATTGCCACCTTATGCAGGAAGGCCGTACGTAGATTTATTAGGTGAGTAAAGATCGTGAGGGTTCGTAATAGCATCAAGTGAGTGTGGGTAGTTCGATCTTTCAGGCTGCATCCGGGTCATTCAGATGCAGATTGGCGAGATCAAAATGAAACAAGCGGCCTCCTGAAGAAAGAATAAACTCTCAAAGGGGATATCAACGCAGGAAGACAAAGGTGTGCGTGGGATGGTCCGGAGATCGACAGTTTCAGGTCGACATTTTCAGGTACTCCGGCTTGTTCTTGTCGAGGTGAGGAAGCAGGCTTCTCATGGTTAGGGTACATCTATTTAAGCGTAGTTCGTGCCCTCCTTCTTCTGGCTTTTCACGCTGTTTGGGCGCAGCGAGGAGAAGAAACCACGGCGGCGCTCCTTGCGTCCACTGTATCCACTGCTAGTATCTTTCCGGCCGACAGCACCACCGAGGCAGTACAGCAAACACGAAAGGAACTCGCAGACAGATGCGGTCCACATGAAGGCGAATGCCTTGACACCTAGGTGTGAAGCTTGGCCGTTACTGTTGAATGCGTTGCGGCCCTGGACAAAGACAGCCCTATGAAATACAGTTAGCACTTTGTTCTTTGTTTTGGGGACAAGCACAGTTCCAATTGTAGTGGTACATACGTCATGAGACAGGTCGTGATGATCTGGAAAGTCAGAGCGATCCAGGCCAGGAAACCGGAGAGGTAGCCGGCAACGCGGGTGCAGATGGCCAGCATCCCAGTAAAGAAAGAGCACACGGCGAAGAACAGACCGATGATGATGAAGGGGAACATGAACCGAGACGTTAAGAAGTAGTGGTTCGTTCTACAGCGTAGGTATGGTTAGCGCGACCCAGTAAATTAGGATATATCAGTTGGTAACCTACCCGATAAACTGATGAGGGACATTTTGGGTCGTGTTGAAGTTACGGTGGCTTGGGGGGTCCAGTGGGAAGTCCGCATGGGTGTCTCCGCAGGCATTATTGCCGTTGCTCACCCCACAGAGGTTCCAGAATGTCCAACGCGAGAGTGGCGGTGCACCTGGGATATTTCCCGTTTCCGCCTCCATGAAGTAGATTTTGTTCAGCGGATTGCTGTTGTTTGCACCTCCCAACAGAGTGAGGAAGATCAGCAAAATCGACGCTGCCATGAAAAACAGGCCCGTGAAGCCCAATGTTGCTCCTATAGACATTGATCAGATTAATATGTTATAGAGTTGTTGATCAGGGGTCAATCGACTTACTGCTGAGACCCATTTTGTTTGGTGCTTATTCTAGGTCACACTAGGATTTGATTTTTTTTTCTCGAGGTTGTTGTCTCTTACCTCCAAAGGGAATGGGTTGCACAAGGAGAGTGTCGAGAGATAAAAGAGAAGGTGTCAGAATTTGAAGTGGAAAACGCTAGCTGGTATAAGGATGTAAGAGCAGCCGGGGTATCCGGGACCATTGGCCGGTGTGATATAATGACGAGTGAGCATCATCCTCCTTTCTCTTTCCTACAAAATTAAGAGTATCAACGATCATAACGTCATAGTTGCACCTGATCGGCTAGCTGTTCGTAGTTAGCCTGCACTCTACTTTAAGCGTTATACCATATCGGGTTAGTCTAAAGCGGTCCATGACGAACCTTGGAAGTCAACGAGCACCCTCAAACCAAACGACGTTGCACCTCTCGCAACAACATTGGCCCTATGGAAGAAAAGTGACGTGGACCATCACATATTAACGTTTTGTCTTATCCAGTTTTGCGCCTTACCGAAAAAAAAACCTTTTGTGCCCAACCCGATCCCCAGACCGAGGGGGTACACAGTACAAACCTCCCGCCCCGTACAACATTGTAATGGCGACCTGGGCATACCCCCCACTGCCCACAGAGCAGATCAACCATGAGGCGGACACTGCGCTGGTATGTAAAACATATATGGACCCTTACAACCGGCGATCTCTACGTGGAGGCCTGGTTGCCTGTAGCTATGATCCGTGAAGGGGTGTGGAGCTTTTCTAGTATAATGCCAACATCTTTATCTTAGGCCCGAGAGCTAGAATGGCTATTACATTCGCTCCAGGATTCACTTGCCTCATTGAAGGAAGGTCTCCAAGAATGCGCTGCCCTCCTAGCTCCCCAAGAACCGGGGTCAACCTTGGTGTTGTCCTCGCTGCGGTCGGAAAGTGTGAAGGGCTTTGTGACTAGAGTCGGCACCAAGGTCGTGAAGGGCGTATGTACCCCGAATCTCTTGCCCGAATATCAATGAATATGCAACTAAACCGATCCATCTCTAGGATGTTCAACTTCGTCTTGCATCGCTCCCGCCTCCTCGGGGTGCCCCTAGCACCCGACTGAATCTATCCCAGTCCCCCGAAGCTCCGGAACTGGTACTTCGACAGCTGGTGTCGGTCCGAGACCTCGTGGCTCAGAGCCTTGATATTGTGGATGTGAGCACGTGGACGGGCGATCCTCTCAATGCAGGCTTCATTTTCAGTCAACTTCACCTCTTGCTCGAGACGATCAACGAGGCGCGACAAATGTTGAAAGGAGAAGGCGATGAGACGCGAGGCAAGTGGTGGGATACCAGTGCCACTGAAAATGTATGTTCGATTTCTTTGACAAAAGTCCTCCGATATTTTGCTGATATGTATGATGCATAGATGTTTGACCCTCCGCTTCCACCACATCTTTCATTCCATCTCTCTATTACAGACTCCGCCCTGGTCCTTCTTCTTCGGACTCTAGAGCCTGCTGCCCTCAATCATACGCCAACCTCTTTTTCCTCGGATATCTCCCTGACAGGGTTCTCTATACGAGACCGGTTATTCGGCTCGCGAGGGCCAACCCATGATGAGGCCGGTAGCGTTTTTCAATGGCAGGGAGAAGAAGTTCGTGTCAAGGAGAAGGTCCGGGTGGAGAGCCAGGATCCCAGTCTGATGGCGGTCATGGCGAAACTATCGGCCCTTGAGCATGAGGTGATGCGGTGCGTTGCTGCGCTGCGGGTGCTTATGGGCGATGAAGATACGGAGAGCGAGGCTTAGTGATTTGATGGATACCCTACTGCATTTGAATTATGAACAGATGCTTGTTGCAATACTTGATGTGATTCGGTAGTCGAGTTAGGACCTTTAGAAGTTTTGAATGGGCTGTCATCTGAGATATGTATTGATCGATCATCTTGAGGCTACCTAGGGCTAGGACTTCCAAGGTTTGACAACCGGTTGCATGGTATAATATATAACAAAAGCAATTAGGAATTAGCATCTAATTTACAACATATACATATTCCTACCAACAAAAAACTTCCTTGGATGTTATAGATCATTGATACCGAGGTAAAACCGACTGGCGGACCAGCCAATGAGAGGCCCGCAGTTTGTGATTGGCGCCGTCTTGGCATCAATTTTCTGGGCTTGGCCATTTTTCTTTCCTCTCTCAACCTCTCGAAAAAGGACTGTCGACAAGAGCTGGAAAATGTTGTCCAGGTCTTCAGCATCAGGCGCCAGTCGGACACAATCGCGCGAACTATTTCGCACTTTTGCCCCCCCTTCTGGATCGCGACAGCTCCGTGGACCTGCCAACCGTTTGACACCTACACAGCAACGCAGTCTTGTCCAAAAAGCTTTGCCTTTGGTCGCGTCTAACAGTTTTGCGCACCGAAGAAATACTTCCGAATATGCGGCATCACAATGTCGGCCTCAGCGGAGGTTTGTGTCAGGCCCAGCATCTGCCGACTCGCCACCTCAACCCAGCCAATCCATCGAACCGGATGATATCAATACCCTGATCGATCGAATCGGCGAAAATGAGGCGGAAATGGTACAACTACTTGAAGAGCTGGAAATTATGGGCGAAGAGGACGAAGAAGGACACGAGCTCATCGACCTGATGGGCCAGCGAGACGAACACACCGCAGAGTCATGGGTACACATGATCAAACAGCGCTTTAGAGATGAGGTGCCGGAGGGGTTGTTGGATGATGCTGAGCTTCAAATCTACGCCCGCCTCTATGGAGAACCAATCATTCGGCAGGAAGTTGAGTTAATGGTCGAGGAGGAAGAGGAAGATCTGAGCTTACTCCGCGAAGATGGACAAGGAGGATGGGAGGAAGTCGATCTAGAAGAAAGCGCCGCTGCCGAGGATGATGTTCCACTCGCCTATGATATGAATGTTTCCCTGGAAGAGCGGGAAACAATTGCCATGCAACGGACCAGAGAAGTGGCAGAGCAATTGGGTGGCGAGATCATGCTCGAGGAATTCGAAAACGAGGCAGTTCCTGACTCTGCTCCAAGAATGCATCCGCTCACCCTGGAGGGCAAATTCGGAACTGATCCTACAACTATCCATCTGCCCAAGAATGTCACGGGTCCCATATCAGTCATCCTGTCAGAATTCTCCAACAAGCACATTTCCGAGACTGCTCGACGTCTATTCGGAGGACCAGGATTGCCCCATTCGATTACAACGGCACCTCCGCGTGCCCAATTACCACAGCTTCCTGTCGCTCTTCAGGCTTCGCAGCGTCAAATGGGAGAAATGGAGGCCAACGCATACTTGGCAGCCTTGTACCCTGGAATCTACGCATCGACACTTAGTGTTATGGTTGAGATTCGCAAGCGATTGGGTGTCGATTGGATCCGCCGTCTCATCGCACAAGAGGGTGGGCCAAACGTTCTTGATGCCAGCGGTGGTGGTGCCGGCATCCTGGCCTGGAGAGATGTCATCCGCGCAGAATGGGAGCTCATGGTTCCCGATCATCCCGCGGGAGCACCCATTCCCTTTGGGAGATCAACTGTGCTGACAGGCTCCGATTCCCTTCGACTGCGCGCTGCTGCCATTCTGGAAAACACCACCTTCCTCCCACGGCTACCTGATTACGTCCATGTGCGCGGGAAGCCTACAATCGATGACTCGCGGAATGCCCCTAAGCGCAAGCAGTACGATATCATCATCGCACCGCACTCTCTCCTCGGCCTTGAAGAAGAATATGAGCGTAAGCAGCACGTGGAGAACCTGTGGTCTCTTCTGAACCCCAACGGCGGTATTCTCATTCTGCTCGAGAAGGGTCGCCAGAAGGGCTTCGAGGCTATCTCTGGTGCTCGTGAAATGCTCTTGAAGCGCTATATTGCAAGTCCTGGCTCTACCGAATTTGACAACTTCCTCGAAGACCCCGACCAACGCGAGGTCATTGAGAAGGAGCGTGGAATGATCGTTGCTCCCTGTACCAACCACTCGACCTGCCCGATGCACAATTCCTCGGGTGCTACCAAGGGCCGTAGGGACTACTGCCATTTCGAGCAGCGATACATTCGCCCTCCATTCCTGCAGCGCATCATGGGAGCGAAAGACCGCAACCACGAAGATCTCAAATTCAGCTACCTCGCTGTGCAGCGTGGCGTAGACCTACGACAAGACCAAGCAGTTCGCCAAGGTCCTGAGGCTACAGATTCCGCGTTCGAAGGATATGAGGACCCCGAGGAGTCTGATATCCCCAACAAACCAGCCTTCCACGCTCTAGCTCTCCCCCGTGCCATCTACCCACCCATGAAACGCCGCGGCCATGTCATCTTCGATCTCTGCACGCCCGCCGGCAAAATCGAGCGCTGGACCGTCCCGCGCTCTTACAGCCGCCAGGCCTACCGCGACGCCCGCAAGTCTCATTGGGGAGACCTGTGGGCTCTGGGAGCCAAGACCCGTGTCCCGCGCAACCTGAACCTTGGCGATAAGCATGGCGAGGGTAAGAAGGAGCGTCTGGCTCACCGTGCGGCGACCAAGGATTCTATGCGTGACGCCGAGGAAGAGGGTGACTTTGAGAATGAAGGAGAAGAGGAAGATGAAGACTATGCAGTTGATGACTCGGATATTCCTGATGTCCCTGTCAAGAAGAGGGGCCAGAATATCCCCAGTTGGAAGAAGCATAATGATAAAAAGAAGCTTCGTCAGGCTTACAACAAGCGTGCTGCCGACGAATAAGTGGCTTTGATTTGGCGCAATTTTTTTATGGATTTGGATGTTCGAAAACATGTACTATACTACTAACTACTGGCAGCATTTGGCATTGGGACTGGGAACTGGATCTTGTTTGTACACTAGGATATTATTCTCGCACTTCTACAGATGTAAATATAGCATCTTCACTCTAATCAATGTTTGATATGTGTTTGATTGGTTGGTACAGTACCTGAGGCGCCATTTGGCCCGAGTCAACCTTCCTTTTCTCCAATGAGATAGTCCTGATGGAGGCCGTTGGGGATCCCACTAAGTCGGTCGTGATGAAGCATGGTCCTGTCACGAATTGGGGGGACTGTGCCAGGCCCAGGAAGCGCCGGCAGTCATTGGAAGCCTTCCTGAGTGGAGCTGCTGTGGACACGGGGTTCTCCAAAACGCACCGGTTGTGAGGCGCATCGATGTTCTGGGAAAGACAGTGGCTAGCTTCAGGCTTGGTGTTTTTCTAGCCAGAGTTGGCGAAGCACGCTCAGTCAAGAAACAACGTGAATAGAAATCAGACAAAAGTCCTGTTGGAACCAAATGCTCCTGACAAGCTAGACGCTTTTCGTAATAGCAGATATTCTTATCTCGCAGAGTGACACCGCCACATTCACTGCGCAGCCATACTCTTTCGCAGCTGCCTTTGCTTCTGCGTACTCTGCAACTCCAATCGATCGACTGCGAACTTGAGCCGTTCTTTCTTTTGCACGAGTCTCCTCAGCTCCGCTGCCTTGGATGCTGCTGGATTACCCGACGAGGCAGCGCCGAGCCCCGCCATGCGACCCCGCAGTGAGCTACTTTGAGGTTGGCTGCGAGTAGCTGATGACCGGCTCTCTGGGTTGGACGAGAGTCGACCTTCTTGCAGGTCGCATTTCGCCTTGAGGCCTTGTTCGCGGCGCGCAAGCTTTTCAACGTGGTTCGATGATAGTGTGAGGAGGTGGGCGATGCTGGGGGTGATTTCGTCAAGAAGGGATTGCTGCGCTTCGCGCAATGTAGGCTCAGGGAGCAGCTCAAAGTGCTATTCAAAGATAAATAGTTAGACTTATAGCTTCTCGTTGCTTCTCAGGAATGAAACTTTGGGAGAACCTACTCGCGTTGACTGGAGGACTTTACATAGACGAGGGAAATCGTTCACGCCCGCATCGAGGGTGGATATAGAGTTGTCCAAAATCTGGAGAGAGGACTGTAACGAGGTAACTGAGGAAGACAATGAAGCTGCCATAGTGTGCGATTTGAAGCTTGATTTGGGAGATGATTGTTTACAATGGTCGGGATAGATCGGGCTGTAAAAGCGGCATGACACCGCCTTTAAGGCGGCGTGGCCTCGGGACCAGGCAAACCTCCCAAACCTCACTTCTCCTCTTCCGTCCTCCTGCCTCACCATCTTCCCGAACGCCGAATTCCCTCCGCATTCGATTCACCTGTCACAATGTCTCTCCTCGGAAAGAAGTTCCCCGGTGCTCTGGGTACGTGTTTTTTTGGACTCTATTACGACTTATGGGAGAACCATATGAGGACCAACGACTGACGCATATGTTCACTTACAGGCAAGCCTATGGCTCCCTTCTTCGCTGCCGGTACGCATACCCTTTGGATCCCGAAATGCCCGACAATCCGGAACGCATGGATTGTCAATTCTGAATACCGCACCCTCGGAACGGTTGTTGATGGAACATTACTCTGACGATTCTCCTCTCCAGGCCTCATTGTCCTCTACGGCGTCAACTCTCTCCAGAACGCTATGTCCAACAGTGAGTCTACTCCGCGCAGCTACAAATAAATCATCGACGGGTTTCGCGGTCACATGCGACAATATCCACGAGACGACACTCCAATGAACGTCTGCGAGCATAAACAACTAACCTTCATGTCCGTACAGCTGCCCAGTACAAGAGCGACCCCCGCAACCCCAACGCCCAGCCCGCTGGCAAGGCTGACCACTAAATTGGGTCGACAATGAATGCATTTTGAGATCCCATTTGTTCGTTGAAGAGGAGCGGGACGACCCGTCGCGATGTGTGGGTGGACGCAGATGGCCCAGGTCATCAATGGCCGGCTTGCACTTTTTGTGATTACTCTGCGGGCAGTTTGCCCCTGTCCAAGCATATAGAGTATACCCACCTCGATGGGGGTGACTTGGATCAATTCACAAGCTGTACCAGTACCATTCTGGGCAAGGCGCTTCTCCCTCTCGTAGTGTCCCTTCTGCCGGATGATATTCCATCAGTCAGGGCAAGAAAAGTAACTTAAGCCGAATATTCCGCAGCCTGTTGTAGTATAGGTAAAGCTATAGGGTTTGTGGACTCTATACTTCACATCTGCTCATTGCTACGCTATTTCACTTAGGGCTAGTTTTCTACTTCTTTGCGACCGTGCAATAAGTTAAAATTAGCCCTTATTTGCGACACTGTGTCACTTAATTTTGATTGTAACAGCTATCCATCAAAATACTAGCAGTAACGTAGGGCTTTGATGCCGCTCAGCGTGAAATCTTGCATCAAGCACGCTAACCCCGATCGGGCAGCCGGTTTTCGCCAACTCCGCCTGGCCGAAGGACAATCATTTTCCGACCTCAACTCCGCAAATACCCCCCAATTAAACACGCCAAAATGACCAAAATGGCAGGCCTTTTCCGGCCCAAGAAGCTTGATCTCTCTGGATTCGTAAATACCCGCTTGATTCGGGACAACAACAAGCGCATGGCCTTCGAGCAGACCGAGCCCGAACGGTACGAACCCTGTCCCAGACACCTCGAGCTTGGAAAACATGCTAGGAATTGAGACACAAATGCTGACTCTGTCTTCCTTCACAGACAAGCTCTCCGCTACATGATCCGCAACACCTCCCTCTCTGGCCGTGTCCGCGCGCAGGCTCAGCTCCAATTGTCGCAGATGCACGCCTACACTCGCCCCACGCAGATCAAGAACCGTTGTGTGGCATCAGGCACTGCCCGCTCTGTCTTCCGCGATTTCAGAATCAACAGAGTAAGTGGAAAACTCCGCCAAGGGCCGAATCTTGCCTGAGGCTTTTTATATCATATCGCTAACATACTGTCTTCTATAGTACCAATTCCGTATGCAAGCCCTTGCCGGAGAACTTCCCGGCGTGCGGAAGGCCAGTTGGTAATTGTATGAGATTGTTGCCGGTACTCTGTAATATACATATGGAGACCTCTGGTTGAATTGTTTGCACGACGGCGTTTTCTTCTTGCTTCCAATGGGTGGAAGCATGTAATGTACAGTATGCAATTCTCATTTGCAGAGAAATTCAAATCTTTCTTTGTTGTTTTGGCTCCTCCGATCAAACCCCTCGGCTTGTTGACAGGTTTAGGCGCTGCTTTGGGCTTGATCCTCGTTTGCTTATGTCGTGAGACCAAGCTTTCTTTGTTGGTATTGTTGAGATCATCTCAATTGGGTTGTTTGCTTCCAGGATGATGGTCAGTTGCAGGCCGGCCCGGCTGATTTGATTGATCCTTGACCGGTAAATCATCATTTCAGCTCAGTGGCGTATATCAAGAAGATCCCAGTCATAGATCCTCAATATCCGCAGGAAGATCCTTCGGCGTAGCTTCACAATCGCATCATCGCGGGTCATTGAGCAAATGGGAAGCTCCTCGATGCCTGCCATAATCACGTCGTCGCTGACTGTTGCCCCGTCGTAAAAAGTGCGCTGAAAATGCGCGGCGCCTTCCGGTTCTGACCTGTGATTTCTTCCCTCCCTCTTCCTTTTGTTTTCTTCTTCCTCTTCCATTCAACCATCACTCATCTCCCCCTCTTGTCTCGTTGACTTTTTTCTCAAATCAATCTCACACGTTGATTTGAAGCCTCGCCACAATGAATGGCGTTCCGGGAGACCTCCTCCCCGATGACACGGTCTTCCCAGAAGACCTGCTGGGGCTTGGGTAAGTTTTTCCGTAGTGTTCGACGTGACGTCCCAGCCTTCAGGCCTAACAATCCATTGAATGACACAGATTCGTCATCACCAAAGATGACAAAATCCGGTACATCGCCGCCCCTGACCAAGGCCCTCGTTACAAGGTCAACCGAAGTGACCGCATGAACAAGGTCCACATTGAGGCCTTGCATAGTTAGTTAACCCTCAGATCCATTTCCATCGTAGGCTATGGTCTTGATGAATCATCTGGCACTAACAACGGATTTCACAGAGGCGATTCGTACCAGCATCATTGACCGGCTCCTGGGAATGGGCATGCACTTCATGAAAATTCCCAAGGGCAGCAAGCAGCAGGTCCCCATCATGGTGTCTGGTAACGTTACCACTGCACCTCGAGTTGTCGTATTCGTCGGCGAGATTGTCGAAGACCTGGGCGTCTTCTCGTACCGTGATGCTTGCGACGATGGCATTTCTTTCGGTTCGATCTTGGGCTTTGCAAAGGGTCTGCTCGGTGAGAATGCTCAAGATTCGCCGAATGCTCTCATCCTTGCGAACGCCGGCCAGAATGTCTGGCACAATGCAGGTTGGTTCGCGATGACCCATGACAGTGTTCATGGTCAACACCGCGCCTCTGCCGTGGACCGCGAACGTCCACTGAGTGCTCGTAACGTGATCGGCAACGGCATCAGTGAGCATGTCCAGAATATCTTCGAAGGAATCTTGATGCGCAGCAACTTCCGAGTCGGTGCCAGAATCGACATCATTGGCCTGTCTGAGGGCGGCCATGCTGCCATGACATACCTGAAGAACCAATGTGAGTATCTGACCGAATAAGAGAGTTGGGGATTGCTTACTGACATGGGCCTTAGGGAGTTTATGGTCGCCCCACATCTCCTCTCTCTCCCTGATCAACCCCGAGACGATTGTGAGCGTGGACACCAAGACTGATGACCAGAAGGATCCGAAGTCATTCGCCTGGTTTATGAAATACCGTTGCCGTGCTTGGGCCATCTGTGACAAGTCGATTGGCACACGTGTGCCCGGTCTTAACCTCCGCCATGGTTGCAACACGTACTCTTCCGGTGAAGGCACGAAGTCGGCGTGCATGATCACTCGTGGTGTGGGACACATCTTGACCTGGATGAACATTATGCACTACTCCCCGATGGCGATGGAGAAGTTTGATGTGGTCCCTGGCGAGACCGATCCCAACGGCGAAGGTTTTATCGCATCACTGATCAACAACGACATACTCCCTGGCGGCAAAATTGAGGTGCACAGCCTAGAAGTTATGAACCAGATTCAAAGCTTTCTGACCGGTGTCACGTTCACCGAGGACATGGTAACTTTTTTCAATGACAAGTTGTATCCCGGTGAAGATGATACCAACGAAAGCGACGATGACAGCGAGTGTTCGGCCATTTACAGAGTTGAGAACAATGATGCGTTTGACGCTCTTCCTGACGTCCTTCCTGCCATTCCTGGCGGTCCTGCTGACGCTTACGCGAACGCTCTTCCCACCCCCGACGATCCCAACGTCCTTCCTGACCCTCTTGCTGACGCTCTTTCCGTTCTGGAAACCCCAACCTACTACGACGACGTAATCGTCGGCAAGGCTGGCCCGTTTGAGCTTAGTGATCTGCAAGACATCCGAGAGGAGGGCGAAGAAGAGTAAGCCCTCTAAGAAGTGCGCCCTGCTTCCTTATGAAGCGGCGCTGGGGTCGGTTGTCTCTGGAGTTTGTGTTTCCCGGTGTTCCAACCGGTTGATTTTATTTTTGATATTCTTTTTTGAGGTTTCTCGTGCGCAGATATCTGTTCTTTCCTCCCTACTTGAGATCAATCCAACAAGAAAATTCACAGGAAATGAAAAAAAGGAGGAAACAGCTACCATCTGCCCAGATAGCGAATGAATGAAACTTCTTTTCACTAATTTCTTCGGCCAATTTCACCGTATGCGACGTAGGTACATACGTATACGTAGGTTTAGGAGTGCACCAATATCACAGCCTTGACCGGCATACGTCCACGGGTAGTAGAAAGAGCATTAATATCAGATTAAATATCTACCTTTGCATGTATAAACCTTCGCTTTGACAAACATCGGAACGTTGCATTAAGCATCTGCTAGGTGGATTATGTTGCTGATCACGGACCAGTGATACAACGGCGAAATTCAAGCAGGCATCAGTCTTGGAAGAATCCCTGGAGGTTTGGGGACAAAGGGGGGAAGGGATTTCCCACAAGATCAGACTTGTTCTCTTGCCTATACTCTTACCTATATTCTTCAATATTTTCCTCCTCACCATCGGGGTATAAAACAATGGCGAAATTGTTCAATGAACCCTTGAAACCGCTCGGCAAAAAACGGGACCAAGACGGTCACGAGCTAAAATTCCTAACCCTTTCCGAGTCAAGCATTTCCCCCCACCAGAAGCAGTTTCGATCGAGTAAAAAGAATGAAGATGCCCGAAGCTGCCCAGGTGACCTCGGGAGAAAAAACAGTTTTCATCGAGTAATCTGATAAAGCGGGCCATTGATAAGCGGGCCATTGATAAGCGGAATTGTGGAATCGCCCGCGCCTTTCACGTCGGAGGTGCCCGACGGCTTTCTCTCTTTGCCTTGTATCGATATGCTATACTCCTCTTAACATGCTAGTATGTCGGAGACAGAGAAAACACTGGGGTATTGTATCCCAGGTCTTCCTCAATACGGCAAGGATGAAGGTCGTTCTGCTGCACTGACTGTCTGGACTAGCCGGTTGACCGGTTGGCGAGTAATCGCAACACCGTCGGGCTCTGGAATAATAATATGGCTCGGCTGTGGGCCTGTGGATATGCCCTGGATATTCCTAGATATCCCCTTCTTTGCTGAAATCCATTTACCCCAAGGTGGGCCCGGAAATTTTTTTACCTTTGGTCAAAGTGGCATGGCGTATTTATATCTCCCAATCCCCTTATCTTAGGATTTTGCTCTCTTATCTTTCTTCTTCTTATCTAAAGAGCATTTTCTTATATTCTGTCTTCTAGTTATACAAGAGTCATGGCAACTAACCTCCCCTCCATTGCCGTTGTGGCTTCATCACGCGCCGTTATCTCCGGCCGTTTGACCGCTGCCACTGTGGTGATCTCACGGACAACCGGTAAGATCACCGCCGTCTTTGATTCCGTGATTCCAGCATCGGAGTTCCCTGGCGATACTCCCTATACCGACTACTCGCCCCATGTTTTACTGCCCGGCCTGGTCGATGCACACGTTCATCTGAACGAGCCCGGCCGCACGGAATGGGAGGGCTTCTATACAGGCACCCAAGCCGCTGCCTTTGGTGGTGTGACCACTGTCATTGATATGCCTCTCAACGCCATCCCGCCTACTACTACTGTGAACGGGCTGAAAGAGAAGATCCAGGCTGCCCAGGGCAAGTGCTGGGTTGACGTCGGTTTCTATGGCGGTATCATCCCCGGCAATGCGGGCGAGCTCAAGGCTCTTGTCCAGGAGGGTGTCCGCGGCTTCAAGGGTTTCCTGATTGACAGTGGTGTAAGTGAACGATACCAGCATCGTGGGTTCTCTGATTAGTATTAACTTTCAATAATAGGTCGATGAGTTCCCCGCTGTCAGCAGAGTGGATATTAAGAGGGCCATGGCCGAATTGGCCGATGAGCCAACAACTCTCATGTTCCACGCCGAGATGGTGCCTCCCATTACCGCATCTGTGGGCGACGAGGTTCAGACGTCTGATGCACCTGCCGACCCTGTCGGCCCTCTTGAGGCGTATGCGACTTTCCTGGCCTCGAGACCCTCCTCATTCGAGACCTGCGCCATCGAGAGTATTCTGTCTTTGGCTCATCTTGCTCCCAACCTCCCCCTGCACATCGTTCACCTCTCTGCAATGGAAGCCATCCCCTTGTTGCGAGAAGCCCGCGCCAATGGCGTCAAAATCACAGCCGAGACCTGCTTCCACTATCTGTCCCTGGCAGCTGAGGAAGTACGTGACGGCGACACCCGCCACAAGTGCTGCCCGCCTATCCGCTCAAAACTGAACCAAGATAGTCTGTGGGAAGAGCTGGAGAAGCACACCGACGACGGCGTCATCAAGACCGTCGTCTCCGACCACTCCCCCTGCACGCCAGACCTGAAGATGCTCCCAGCCCATGTCCCCGGCCACTGCGCCGGCGGCAAGGACGAAGAGAGTGGTAACTTCTTCTCTGCCTGGGGCGGCATTTCTTCCGTCGGACTGGGCCTGCCCATTCTCTGGACAGACCTCAGCCGTCGTAAGGGCCTGACCTCCTCGCCAGAAGACGAGAGCACCAAGAACGCCCTCCAGGACGTCGTCCGTCTCTGCTGTGCCAACACTGCTGCCCAGGTTGGCTTGCAGTCGCACAAGGGTGACCTGGTTGTCGGCTTTGATGCTGATATTTGTGTTTTCGACGACTCTGCCGAATGGACCGTCGAGCCGAGTACTATGCTCTTCCGCAACAAGTGCTCCCCCTACCAGGGCCGTACTCTGCGCGGCATGGTCCGTGAGACCTGGTTGCGTGGTGAGCGTATCTTCAGCCGTGACCAGGGCTTCGATAACCAATCGCCGCATGGCAAGCTGCTTCTTGAGAAACGGGTTTGAGATCTTTCCCGCTCTCTTCTTCTTCTTCTTCTTCTCCTCCTCCTTTCTTTTGTCCACACTTGAGACAAGTTGATATCTCGGCAGTGCGCCTTGCTATCTTTTCTATATTTCTGCCACTTTACATATCGATCTCGACCTGTGAGATTGACCCCTCTGATGAGCACTAATGATTACACAGCATCCATACCCGTTAGATTAATGACAGCGCGTTGTAGCTTTAGGGATAGAATACCAGAAGCAATCAATTGAACCCATCCAAGTCCTCTAAACAAGTCAGCCCATAAAAACACATCAATGTAATCATTATTGTCGAATACTATACAAATACATATCAAAGACTCCCAACATCCTCACCCCCATCCTTCCCCTTCTCCCACTTCTCCCTAACCCTCCTCCTAACACCCCCATTAACCCCCTTCCCCCAAATTTCCTCCTTCTCCGTCCCAACCTCAACACCCTCATCCGCTCTATCCTCCTCCCCAACCGCCCCAATAACAACCTTCCTCTCCCTAACCCCCCTCTCCTTAACTCTCGCCCGATCCACCTTCCCAAGATACGTCCAATACAAAAACGACTCCGCAACAGCAACACTCAGCGCCGCAAACAGCCCAAGAAGAACCTTAACCGCCTCGCTCGACAGGATCTGCGGCGTCGGGAACCGAGTGAGCGCAGCGTACACGCTGAACCCGGTCACAATCACCGAGATGAAGACGCTAGAAACCAGCGAGACCGTCAACGTATCCTCTTCTACCCGTCCGTCGCTCGTGTAGGGTGATGTGTGCGGATCCGCGTGGTCGGCGTTTGGTTGGTAGTTTGGGTTTAAGAGGCGGTTGTAGGATTCTTGTTCTGTTGCTGCGAGGAGGCGGGCTTTTGATGCGAGATATTCGGCGCTCTGGATTGTGTATAGTTTGTTAGGATCTGGTTTGGTGTAGTTTTATGTATTCCAGGGAAAGAAGGGAAGGGATGGGATGGGGATGGGTTTGTGTATAGACCACGTACGGGCTCTGGCTTCTTTGGCGGCGGAGGAACGTAGACTTTCGTGCCGCGGAGGAGGGAGCTGAGGACTGTCGGGGTGTGAGAAACATGCTCTTTGTACTCTGGGTCGGTTTGGAGGTATCTGGCGAGCCGGATCAGTTGTTCGTGGGCTATTGGGCCTTGTGCTTCCAGCGTGGCAGGCAGGTCTAGCTCCTCGTGGCGCGAAGCTGGAATAGCTTCGAACGCAGCGAGGATGCGATCTGTCGTAAGAAGGAGGACCATTATGATACAAATTCAACGAACATTAGGGTAATTAAGCAAAAGAATCCATTGAGGTTTAGTTTATCGCTGGAAAGATAAAGCGGAACCCCAAAAAAGTGGCAGTTAAGCTCCTCCCCACATCGTCATATCTTCTCTTCTCTCTCACACACATCTTTGCGACCATGGCGGACTCAAAGAAGAGGTAAATTCCAATTCCTATGTCATCTCTCTTTACAGAAATTCCCTTCTAGCTTCCAACCCCCAACTTCAATCCCATGCCCGCATCCACAGAACCCAGAATACTAACCCCTCCACCCAGCACGGTAACAACAGAAACCAACCCGCGCGGGATCCCCGTCGCCCCCTTCATCGACAATGTCAGCGACTACGTCTCCTCCCGCGAGGAAGTCGAGCCTACCCTCCGCTCCTTCCAGGAGATGATCTCCAAGTACCAATTCATGGAGGTGAACACGCAGCGCCGCGGCCAGGGCCTGCGCGAGAAGATCCCGGATATCAAAAAGACGCTGGAGATGGTGCGGTTCCTGCAGCTGCGCAAGGAGGTAACTATCCCCCGCGGTCATCCTCTATTTATAATATGCAATTCGTTGAAAAAGTGATTTGTGGAGCATCCAGCTTTGGAAATTGAAACCGAAATCGAAATCAATATCAATTCACTAACACTCTGCTTGTCTAGTCCAACCCTGACTCAGACCTCGAGACTAACTTCGAACTCAATGATACCCTCTACGCCCGGGCTGCGATCTCGCCTGCTGATGCCGAGGAGGTCTACCTCTGGCTTGGAGCGAATGTCATGTTGGCGTACC